TGAGGAGGAGCAGCTAGGTGTTACAGTGGATAGAACACCGGACCTGGAGTCAGGAAGACCTCAGTTCAAATGCAGCCTCGGACACTTACTAGTTGTGTGACCCTGGGCAAGTCACTTAACTCTGATTAACTCCCAAAAAAAAAGACTTATGTGCTTATTTTGTCATTTTTTCATCTGAAACATGGACATAGCTCTTTCACAATTGACCTCGTGGCTGTGTTGTGAGAAAAATGCGTATAAAACTTCAAAAGCTAAATGCTAATGTAAATATATATGAGCTCAGTGCCTTGCATATAGTAGGTGCTTCATAAAGGTTTATGGAATTATTAAAAAACAAAAAACCAAAAAGAATGAGAATGACCTGGGTTTGAATCCTGCTTGCTAGCTGTATGATACTTAACACTTAATGTGTCTCAGCTTCAGGCTCTTCATCTATTAAATGAGGATGATAATAGTGTTTAGTTCACTGGGTTATTATAAGAATCAAATGAAATAACATGTAAAATGCTCTGCAAACCTTAAAGCACTGTATAAATGCTAGTTATTGATTAATAGAATGTTCACAGTCTGTTAAGACCTAAATTTGCCCTTCAAGTTGTAACTGATGTAGGAAGGATGCATTGGCTTCTAAGTTTCTTGTTGGATCAAATGATGATATTATTATCATCTTACCTGGGGAAAAATCTACCACTTAGCAAAAGAAATAAATGAAGTCCCCAAATGACCTTATGAAGTAACCAGAAAGAACCTGGGGATGCTTTGAGCTACTCTCTGTACATTTTCCTTTATAAACAAAAATAACTCTATTAATGGGGAGTACTGTTTGTGTGTACATGGCTGAAAACATTAGAGGATTTTAGAACTAGAAGAAATTTCAAAGGCCAACTAATCCAATCCCTGCCACAACAACAACAGCTAGCATTTTAGACTTATAAAGCACTTTAAGTATATATTTTCATTTAAACTTTATGACAACCCTGTGAATTAGGCACTACATTCTACAGATAAGGAAAATGAGGCTGAAAAAGGTTAAATGTCTGGTCCAGCAGCACACAGCTAGTAACCCTCTAAAGTATCAATCCCCTTTATGAGGAAAGTTAAGTGCCTTGCTACGGGTTACAAACATAACAAGACAGCAAGACAGCCCAGTCCAAAGTCGAGCATGATTCTCTTTTTCTTTTCTTTTCTTTTTTTTTTTTTAAAGGCAATTGGGGTTAAGTGACTTGCCCAGGGTCACACAGCTAGTGTCAAGTGTTTGGTCTGAGGCTGGATTTGAACTCAGGTCCTCCTGACTTCAGGGCCGGTGCTCTAGATCCACTGCGCCACCTAGCTGCCCCATAGAGCCTGATTCTCAGACTGGTGCATTTTCCCCGGCATTTCACAGATGCACTTCCTTGTTTTCTGAATGAAGGAAAAAATACTAGTTCAGAAAAGGCTTGGAGTCTCCACAGACATGAACTTACATGTTTAAGCTTGGTGATATTTATAATTTTAACAGAAGCCACACTTATTATTACATAAAATTAAAGGTTTGGGGGAGTAAAAGGGACTTGGATTAAATATTCTATGTCTCAAAATTTTATCTTCATTCTTTGTATACTGTTCCACTCAACCCTCCCCCAAAAGAAATTATATAATATATAAGAAAATGAGACAGTTTAACTATTAGATAACAGCTCTTCAGTCATTAAAGACATTTATGAACTAGACCCACCACCTTGCATTCATTTAGACTCAACACCATCTATTTGTCCAAACTCTCTCACTCCTTCCTTCCTTCCTTCATTCCCCCCTTCCTGCAACTTTTGCTCAAAAAAAGTGATAGCCTGTTTCTAATTACTATAACTAATATTTATATAGTTCTTTTAGGTTTGTAAAACACTTTTCCTACCACAAATCTGTGAAGTATACAGTATAAGTTTTATCATGTCCATTTTACAGACAAGGGTCATAGAGAATAAGTATCTTGTTTAAGTTACAGAGCTCATAACTGACAGAGCTGAGAGCTCTGAGCTGGTCAGGTGTTGACTCCAAAACCAGTGTTCTCTGTATCAGAACCACAACACCAACAACTAGTATTTATGTAGCAATTTAAAGTTTGCAAAGCACCTCATAATTACTATCTCATTTTATCCTTACAACAACCCTGAGATCTGGGTGCTATTCCCATTTTGCAGCTGGGAAAACTACAAAGCAGATAGAATTCAAGTGACTTGCCCAGGGTCATACATCTAGTAAGTGTCTGGGACTGGATTTGAACTCAGGTCTTCCTGACTCCAGGTCCAGCACTCCATTCATTGTATCACCTAGATATACAACCCAGCCTTTCAAAAATCTATCATATTGCATATGAAGCTGACATGAAAACATTTTGCATCTCAATTTTCTCAGGGGATAAAGAGGGGGAAAAAACCCCGAATCTCTTTATATTTATAGTAGTTTTCCCAAAGCAAATTGCTATAGAGTAAGCAGGTCTGCTCCTATTGTATGTCACTGATGTTTTTAGTTCTGTAACCCTGGGCAAGTCACTCAACTTCTGCCTGCCTCAGTTTCCTCATCTATAAAATATGGATAATAGCAGCACCTACTTCCCAGGGTTGTTGTGAGGATCAAATGAGATAATCAAATGAGATAACTTAGCACAGAGCCTGGCACATAGTAGGCACTTAATAAATGCTAGCTATTTCTTCCTATCTTTATGTCCCCTAGAATACCCAACAATAACAAAATACTCAATAAATGTTACCAGCTCCTTAAGGACAGGGAATATTTAATAAACGTTTATTAAGTGCCTACTATATGCAAAGCACTGCGCTGGGAGTAGAAGATTAAAAAATAAACAAAAAGATAAATAAAAAGATATCCCCTGCTTTTGAAGAGCCTCTTTTTTTTTTTTTTTGAGGGCAGAGAAGTGGGATATGGCATGACTAGGTCTCTTTTCTCCCCCAGTGCCTATAATAGCACATGGCACAGAGTAAGCACTTAGTTTTTGTTTGTCCTTCATTCTTAAACAGAACCAATGACATCACAAGGGTGATATCTAGACTTACGTGTGAACTGGATATGAGTAGGGCAGAGCTGCATAAAGTCATCAGTCTCAGTCTCTCCTCCAGAGTCATCAAAATCCAGTGGCAAGACAAAGGTCAAGATAACTAGAAGTGTCCTAGGATGCACTGGGTAACCTTGGCCTTAAAGTCTTTCCCAGGTCTCAGTTTGTCTGAGGCCAAACCCATTCAAAGACAGAGGACTGAGTAGGACAAAAGGTGACTCAATTTACCATCACAAAGATATCAGTCTAGGAGGGGAATACCCTCAGGAGGTTTTTAGCCAGAACAGAAAACAATTCCTACTTACACACATTCTCAGGGGTGGGGAACCTGCAGCCTCTAGGCCACATGTGGCCTTTTAGGTCCTTGGGTATGGCCTTTTCACTAAGTCCAAATTTTACAGAACAAATCCTTTTATTAAGGGGATTTGTTCTGTGATTGAAACACTTGGGCTTTCTAGAGATATATTTCAAGAAATCAAAAATTTGTTAATCAGTTCTTTAAAGAATTTTGAAGACTGGGTTATGTGTCCAGATTCATGCCCAAGATATATTAATTCGGGTAACATTATGAAATATGCATTGAAGCAGGTTGATAGAGTGGAGAAAGAAGGCCATATAAGAAGGCTTCTGAAAGATTATTAGTAGGCAGCAAGGAAGATAATGTAATGGACAGATGAGGGAACTATTAATGTTGTGGAGATTGAAAGGAACAGAAGTTGAGAAACAATTAAGAATGGGAGGTAATGGGAGCTTAAAGCATCTGAGATAATTAACAGGAGAACTATAGACACAAAGGACAATGGAAGTACAACAGACAGAAAGAAATAAAGCAGAATGAGGAACAGGTTTAAGGGAAAAGTCAATGTCTAGTAAGTGCTTGTGGAACGAACGAATGAATGCTCTCTTAGAATTCCTAATTCTCAAAGCTCAGCTCGAGCACCACCTTCTTCAAGAGGTCTTTGGTAATTTTGTTGTGGTTGTTCAGTCTTTTTTTAGTTGTGTGCAACTCTTCCTGACCCTATTTGGGATTTTCTTGACAAAGATACTGGAGTGGTTTTGCCATTTCCTTCTCCAGCTCATTTTACAGATGAGGAAACTGAGGCAAACAGGGTAAAGTGACTTGCCCAGAGTTTCATAACTAGGAAGTATCTGAGGCCAGATTTGAACTCAGGTCTTCCTGACTACAATTAAGGCACTCTATCCACTGTGCCACCTAGCTGGTCTTTTGTAATGCCCCCAGTTACTAGTAAGCTGCCCCATAGATCACTGTTACTTTGTTGTTTTTTAAAATTTTTATTTTATTTTAAATTTATGAAATGATTGCAGGAGAAAGTGAAAAATGCTGGGGAGGTGATATAGAAAAATTGGGACACTAATTCATTGTTGGTAGAATTATGAACTGATCCAACCATTTTGAAGAGCAATATGGAATTATGCCCAAAAAGTTATTAAATTTCCTATACCCTTAGATCACTGTTACTTTGTAGAGAGTCTATATTTTTATTTTTGCATTCCTATATTGCATCTCTTAAGCAGAATATAGGCTCCATGGAGTCAAGGACTGTTTCACTTTTGTATTTGTACCTAGCACAGTGCCTGGTACATAGTAATTGCATAAATGCTTATTGATTGACTCAAATTGTCCTTGTCAGGGATTTATACCATACACAGCCAGCAGGGGGAGCAGAGGTTTGCAGTCAGAAATACCCCAGTAAAGAAAGATTATGACGTGGGTATGCCGAACGGTGAATTGGATAGCTCTCTTCTGTATAGTATCCAGTATTTTTAACTCTAAACCATACAGCTGCCACTTTGTTAGGATCTGTGGCAGCCTTGTATCTAACTTAAAAAACAACCTGGAAATGAAGGCATATAGGTTTTTAATAAATGTCCTTGATGACAAAAGAAAATTATGAAAACCAGTTAGAGGAGTCTAAGAACCAGGACTAGGTCTGGGACTAGGGAGTTTTTCTTTTTTTTTTTTTCTTTTTTCTTTTTGCTCTTATGCATTTCTAGACTGTCTGCTTAAACCATTCATGCTTCAATTTCTCTGCACCAGCACATTTTTGTGTGTGTGTGCAATGACATTTAAGGTAATATTTGTGAAAGCATATTGGGGCTTGTTAGAAAAGTATTCTGTAGGTACCAAGTACTTTTTTATATGTCATCTAAAGGAAAATAAAATCTGCCAGATTAAATGGTATTAAAAAAAAGAATCACAAAAATTTTTACTTCTGATTTTCCAAGGGGATAGAGAAGAAAATAATCCTATGTTGAAAGCAACTTCCCCAAAGCATACCCATTACATTTTATCTTCTTTTTAATTTTAGAGTCATATAAAGTAATGTGGAAAATTAATTCTTTTTTTTTGATCAAGCATATTGTAATGTATATTGAAAATGTTTTAAAATTTGCAAGCTGAAAATTAAAGCAGCACAACACATGAGAAAATATTCCCCAGTTTGGGTCTATTCTTTGGGAAATTCCAACATAAAGTCAATTGGAAAAAAAAACATGAGAGAACAGTTTCAATCCTTTCTACTTTTGGCACTAACAGTAATCAGTTCTACAGAAGTCAGATGTCTGAGTTTCATAAGGTAAGCCAAGTATAATCAGCCTTGGTTATAAAGAGAAAAAGTAATGAGTCCCAGTAATGAAGGGTGAAAGGGAACACCTTATGGTCATTTGATATTTTAAAATCCTGCTCTATTATTGAAATGCATTTTTAAAAGCCAGAAAATTCAGAAGTTATAGTTTTTGGAAACATTTTAATATCTCTGCCTTGCTTTTAGCAGCTTCTGGCCCAATTTTCTTCTTCCTGTGTATGAAAATCCTGTTGAAGTAATTCAAGTTAAGTAGGTTCTGCGGAGAGTGACACAGGCCACCAATCAGGCACTAGATCAATGGAGATATACTATAGTTTACTACGCCATAGCATAGTAAAATAATGGAATGAAAAATGGACACTGACACTTTAATGTACCCACTGTCTTTTAAAGTTAAAATTTGTACCGTAAATGGTACATCACTAGTTCCCTCCACTTTTTTAAATTTCCTGGGTTTAGTGGAAGTCAGAGAAATGGAGTTTAAGAAAAAACTTTTTTCTGAGATCCTAAGAATTCTACCAATTCTTTATAGTCTTCTTGAATACTGCACGTATGTATCTCATCAGTTAAGTATTTCACATGCTGGACCCATTTTGTACAAGCCTATGAGGGTACTATGTGTTGTCCTGGATCTAGAGAAGGAGGAAAACTCTTCTAGTGCATGAAATGAGAGAAGAGACTGATATAATATAATTAATGTAATACAATATAACATGTATGTACACATATATGTGCTTATACACATACACCATATNTAATATAATTAATGTAATACAATATAACATGTATGTACACATATATGTGCTTATACACATATACCATATATATACAATAATGCCTATTGATTGTGTGTATATAATAATTACATATATACAAAAGTTTGAGTATGTATGTGTGTATCTATACATGTGTTTACATACACAAACATATATATATGAAAATGCCTGTTGATTGTATGTATATATAATAATTATATATACTATATATACTTATGTACAAAAAGATTTGTTGAATGTGTGTGTGTGTTATGTTATACCTAAATGGGTCCATGATCCCAAAAAGATTAAGAACCTCTGCCTCATATACTTATCCTCTTCCCCCTAGAATTAGCCCTTGCCCCTTCCAACCTGTGCCGTTTTGAGGAAAGGGAAAGAGGAATTACGAGCTATTGATCCATACATGTGTTTTTTAAAAAAACAAAAATCAATCAAGATCATATTTACTTGTGTTTTCCTCACTATCAAAAGGTCCTTAGTAAATGTCTATGTATGGAACTGTGCTATCTATCATACAGAAGAAATTCAGATAGACACTGGGAATTTATAGCCTGAAAGAGATAACACTAATGTAGTCAGACAGAAAGATAGTACAAAGAAAAAAAACAAACTCTGAACAGGAACATAAATAAAGGAATACATGATGTATTATAATGTATTATGGATGTGTTGAAGGATAACAGTATATCATGGGGTGCTGATTGAAAAGGAAGTCACGGAAATTTCATGCTTAGCCAGAGAGAAGACCAGGCAGAGTTGACTTCCTTTGTACTATGCCCAGTGTGCTTTGGATGCTTGATGAACAGGACTAATTAAGGTTGCATGGAGCTGAAGTGAGGGTGTTATTGGGAAAGTTCACCCGTGAAAACATCTCTGGGGTTTCCCGGAAAGCCGATCCACACCTCCTCTGGATAGAGGGGGTAGGCGGTGGTCATGGGCAGCCCAGGCCTCAGGCCCTTACCTGGAGGTTGGAGTCCTGGACCATGCACAGCTGCTCCTGGATTTTATGCAGTTCTTCTTGTTGCCACCGAATGTTGGCCTGCAGGATCCGGGTCCGCTGCTCCAGCTGGTCTTTAATGGTTTGAAACATGCTGAATTGTGCTGAGAACTTGAAGGGAAAGAGGGGGGAAAAATCACACCCAAATTCAACATTGATTTTCATCATTCAGATAGGTTTCAGTGATGAGCCTGCCTTATTTATCTTTTTTATTTTTTTTTAGTGAGGCAATTGGGGTTAAATGACTTGCCCAGAGTCACACAGCTAGTGAGTGTTATGTGTTTCAGGCTGGATGTGAACTCAGGCCCTCCTGACTCTGGGGCAGGTGCTCTATCCACACTGTGCCACCTAGCTGCTCCGCCTTATTTATCTTTTGCAAGCCCTTGCCCCTCCTCACCAGTGTCAGCCCAGTGACCCCAATTTAGCCTAGAAGGGAGTAGGAATAATGTCCATGAAGATCTAAAAATACATATTTGAATCTAATGAAAATTATTATTTGCCTATAGCCTGCTTTCTTTTATGTGCCACACGGCACAGTGGAATGATCATTGGACTTGGAGTCAAAGAAGCAGTTGAGATAAAGTCCTACTCTGTTCCTTATAATAGCTAACATTTATAGTGCACAAGGTTTGCAAAGCACTTTACATATTAAAAAACATTTATATAGTACCTTAAAGTTTACAAAGTGCTTTATATACATAATCTCATTTGAGATTGTGTATATAATTCATATTATAGATTATACAGCAGCTCTATGAGGTAGGTACTAAAGAGATTATGAAACCCATTTTATGGATGAGAAAACTGAAGTTTTAAAGGCGTAAAGTGGGACATAGTCATTGCTACTAAGTGCCAGAAGCAGTCAATGTGTGACCACTTTATCTTTTTGGGTCTCAGTTCCCTCATCTGTAAAATGGGGGTGTTGGACTAGATGACCACTATAGTTCTTTTTAGCTCTTAATCTGTAATCCTCTGATACTATTTCTTTCTAGGTCAGTGGAGCTCATTCTACATTTGTATGGTAAATTTATCTCACTTCAGTCAGGTAATACTGGGTTATTGCTTGGTTTTGTAAGTACTGATTGCATATTCATTTTCCAAATTNAGCTCATTCTACATTTGTATGGTAAATTTATCTCACTTCAGTCAGGTAATACTGGGTTATTACTTGGTTTTGTAAGTACTGATTGCATATTCATTTTCCAAATTGAGAGACACGCACATAGAGAGAGAGAGAGAGAGAGAGAGAGAGAGTTTTTTAAAAGAATGTCAAAAGCAGGACACCAAAAGAACTCTCTCCCCACTTCCATCCACTGCCAGTGAGGGCATGGCAGCTTGCATGTAACAGATTCACAGACATTTTTAGGTTCTATAATTATCCTGAATGTGATCCTGGACAGCACTGGCCTGTTATGTAATGGATCACGAATGAACTTTAATTTGATGGTACATTACACTGAAGCAGTGTTCTCTAAACTGGCCTTGAGGGCATTTTAGCCGGCTGGCAAAGATTTGTGGGTATTCTTCCTCACCTTTCCCCAGGTTCTTTATGTCTCCCACCTCAAGGGAATCTGGGTCAGTGGTAGCAAACAAACAAACAAACAAAAAAGCTCCAGAAAAGTCAAATAAGTTGATAAATAACATTCTTGTGTTTTGCGGTGACAGAATTTTAACCTGAAGTTCTCCTGGGAAGAAACTAAAGGTTTGCTGTAGGCTTACATAAAAGACTGTAAACATGTTCAGATTTCTTAGCTGTTCATTCTGTATACCTCAAGGTGGCCCTGGGAAAACCCTCAAGCGGACTCCAAAGTGTCACCTGCTCATTTAATGAGGGAACCGTGCAGCACCACAGCATCAGGTGTACCCTACATAAGCGGCCTTAGAGATTTCAGTGAAGACAGTGAAAGTTAGAAGCAGATGACAGGTGACTCAGAGTGTGACCTGTCTAGTGACCTCTGCCTAAGATCATGAGGCTGTGCTAATAGTCTCTGGTAATGACAACTTTGTCACCTGGATATGCATTATCTTTGTGTTTTCTCTTGCTTGCTTCCTCCCCCATAAAATGGATTTAATGATGTGTACTACTTGTTTCCTTTAGAAGGATGCTATGTGCGGGCTAATGGATTTCTGCTAAAGTGCTTTGAGATAGCAAAATGCTAAATAATTTCTTGAGGGAAAATGTGCATGACGGCTGGCATGGGTGAGGGCTGTGGACTAAGGCTAAATTTTCTTTAAGGTTATTTTACCGACATTCCCTTTATCCCTGTTCAAAAACTCTGTTGTATTCATGTTCTTATCTTTTATAAATGTATCCTCTGGTCTTCTCTTTTCATTTGGTCCTTTTCCCCCTGTGTATGAAAAAATGACCTTTTTTTGGAGGTGGGGGAGTGTGGGGAGAGAAGATAAAAAGAATGGAATTATTAAATGATGCCCCATTGGAATAACTGACCAAGATTACATGGTATGCACTAAAACCTCAATTGACCAGAATCCAAATAATGAAAATTCAGGATTAACTGGAATTTTGGGAGATGCACCCAAATTTTAGGAGTGAGCAAAAGAAAACAAGCATATGATATATTTTGTCAAAAAAAAAAATCCAACTTCCTATACGCCAGTGATGTCAAACTCAAATAGAAATGGGTCCCTGCAGGTTGCATATTGACTTAGAAAACCACAAATTAACATTATCTATATTGTATTTTTATTTATTTAGCTCAACATTTTCTAATTACATTTTAATCTGGTGGTGGTAGGGCTGTGAGTCTGGCACTTCTGTACACAATCAACCCAATATCCCACAGATATTATACAGGGATATATATTATACAGGGTTATGTAGGGATAGAGAAATAGCCCTGAGGAATCATAGGATTTCAAGAGTTGGAAGGGACCTCAGAGGCCAATCAATCCAATACATGCTTGAACAAAATCCTGCCCTACAAATGTTGATCCAAATTCTGCTTAGAAATCTCCAGTGACTGGAAACCCACTGCTTCCTCCATTCTACTTTTTGGACAGCTCTCAGTGTTAAGACTTTTCTTCTATTAAACTCAGAAGTGGTACCTCTCTGTCATACCCATCCATTGCTCCTGGTTCTACCCTCTGGGGCCATCCAGAAACCTTTGCCACAGGACAGCCCCTCAAACACTTGAAGATGTCTTCTCTCCTCCTGTCTAAAGATTCCCAATCAAATCCTTAAACCAAACCTTTTACAAAATGATCTACAACCACCTCACTCTCCTGGTCATGTTCCTTTAACGTGTCAATGTCCTTCCTAAAGGATGACCTCCAACAGTGAATATGATTCTCCAAGAGTGTTGTACAACATCAGGGCAGACCAGTGGAAGACTATCACCTCCCTCATCTCCCAGCATTCTAAGATCAAGTAATCTTTTCTTGGCTAACATTTATGGATGCCCCCATATCTTTCGACATATTACCAAGCTATCTGCTTTCCTTACCCTGAATTCACGCAGTTAGTTTTTTGATTCTAAGGGCAGGATTTTCAGTTTACTGCCATTAAATTTCACTTTAACATATTTGGCCCACCATTTTGAATATATCCTGAGACATACTTAGATCTTGATTCTATCACTTAGTGTTAGCTCCCAGCATGGTGTTATTTACAAACTGGACAAACATTTTATCTGTATCTTCATCCAAATCACTGAAAAATTATTAAAAGGCACAGGACCCAAGGGTAGATTCTTGAAGCATTCCACTAGACACTAGGCACTGTTAGTGTCTATTCTTTGGAACCTAGCATTCAACAAGGGCCTAATTGGCCTTTAAATGAAAAATATCTTTGAAATAGGGGGAAAAAACCCTATACTGATTATAGGACATACTTGGGCTTATGTAGGCCCGATCTGAAAGGAAAGTATGGTCTCTATTCAGAACAACATGGTATATTCTGTTAATCTAATGACATAGATTACAATCAGAAATAGGCATGGCTAGAAGGCATAGGCAGAGTTGCAAAGTTGATTTAGTATTTAAAGTATTTAGTGCAAGTACTTTCAGATACTCAGCATCATTTATAAAGTTCTGTACAAAATTTCATAAAGAAACTTCATTCTTGACAAGTGCCTCTTGCAGAAGAGAAATGGATACTTGTTATGATTTTCATTGGATATCTGATTTAGCATTAATAGTAAAACCTCATCAATCCATTGGTGAAAGGAAGAAGGGAGTGAAAAGTCTTTATGAAAGAACATTTTTAAAGGAATACAGTTCCATTCTTTCCAAGGATGATGCATATTACAAATTAAGCTATAAGTGGATACTAATAAGTAAAATTAAATATAATTTTTTTAAAAAGGCCTACATCACACAATTACATACTATAAAACAAAAAAAACCTTTTATCTAGCAAAAATTGATTCCTAGATCTGGAAGCTAGGAGCTTTTAATTTCCTGAGTGCTTAGTTTGAAAAAGGTATGAATTTTACATGGAGAATGGTTCCATGATGGGTAAAACCCTAAAAATTTGCAGAGAAGGAAATTATTCTATATGGTTTCCCCAATAAGGATCACAAATAGAATGTTTCAGTTATCACAGGTTCTGCATAAGTAGGCTCTAAATGAATGAGGTTTTATTGTTAATGTAAATGGTTGTCAACATGGCTTGTCAAATGGTTTATGTGTGCTATGCTATCCTGTTTCAAAGATAATGCTGCTGGATGTATATGCCAGGAGAGGAAGGGTTCTAAGTCATTTTTCCAGTAGAGGGGTAGATTTGCATTAACCCACTCGTATATTCTGGCTGAGTTCATCTTGTCAAACACATTTGTCTGATGACTCGCTGTGGTTGTGGGGTGAAGTTTGTGGCCATGGGTTAAGCAAAGCTAACTGACTGGTCCACAGTGGGGTAAAACCCAGAGGCTTGGCCTCATTAGCATGATGCACTAACCCAATGAACTGCTGTGTGTAAATACTGCATTCAATGATTTAACTGACCAGAAATTGAACAACTTGGCTACAGAGGAATTTTTAAAAAACAGCCAACACGATACTTCCTAGAAAATATGTTGGATCTATAAGGTAATCTTCTGGTGAGAGACTTTTGCAAGACTATTATACCCAATTTAGCATATTATTAAATACTAAATTGGAAATAAAGGAAAGAGGCATAGAAAACTTGGTAGCACATGCAGAGGGGCAGCTACGTGGTAGATAGAGCACCGGCCTTGAAGTCAGGAGGACCTGAGTTCAAATCCAGCCTCAGACCAAATACTTGACACTTACTAGCTATGTGACCCTGGACAAGTCACTTAACCCCAATTGCCTTAAAAAAACAAAAAGAACATGCAGAGAAATCCATGAAGATTACAAAAGAATTAGAAAACAAGACTAGGATGAAGAACTCTATGGTATGATTTATTTTGGCAGAAGAACTGAAAGAGATGATATCATCTAGAAGAATGAATACTGCCTTATCTGTAATATGGGAATCAGCTCAAAATGACCATAGGAGGGGCAGGGCTAGGGACTGGACCTAGATTAGATTAGCTTTATATTCTGAATCCCTAGGGGGCAAGGACTGTCTTTTGCTTTTCTTTGTATCCCTAGAGCTTAGCACAGTGCCTGGTACATACTAAGTACTTTATAAATGCTCACTAACTGACTGATATATTATTTCATAGCTCCAAGGAACTCCTGGGTGAAGAAAATGCCTTTTCCCATATAGGTCAGCACCTTTTCTGCAGCTTACCATCTTAATGGGTTGCGTAGAGTGCTAAGGTTAAAGTGACTTATTTGCCCACCATCAGGAGGTGTCACAGAGGCTGGACTTGATTGAATCCAGATCTTATTGGCTTCAGGGTCAGCTCTGTATCCACCATGCCATTAGGGGGAGTATCCTCTGATTGGAAATTTAGCTTTGTGTCTTAATATGCAGGTCAGCCTGTGTGCACACCCATGCATGTGCATACTCAGAGAGACCAGAGATGCCTTCTCGAATGTGGGAAAGGTCTCATTGCAAGAAAAATTCTTGCCCCCTTCTCTTATCTCCCCCAAGTCCTAGACTCACCTGTGTCATAGGTGTAGGTGGACTTTGCAAAACAGCTTGAGGCAGCAGATGTTGGGTAAGAAGATCACAGGATGACTGAGAAGGCAGAGAAGCCTGGGGGTGGAAAAGGAGGCGGGGGAAGAGGAAAAAAAAGAATCCTGCTTTGTTAACAAATACAGTTTCCAAGGAGTTCAATAAGTTCATAGTTGTGAAGCTTATGACCCTCCCTCATCCCCAAGAGCTATCTGGACAGAATATACAGGAGGCCCAATTTCTGCCCCAAGAAAGATAGCTGCAAGACCAGAAGGGCTTTATTAGGTGAAGAGGCACTTGAAGCTATGAAGAAATGGTGGGAACAAACAGTCTTGATATCTAGGGCTAAGAGATCTATGAAACCAGATACCATTTCTGTCAAATGGGTGCTACAGGCATCATTATTCTCACTTTAACAGACTGAGGTAAACTGAGGCTTAGGTTAAGGGGACTTACTCCTGGTCATACAGCTAGTCAAATGAAATTTGAACCCAAGTCTTTCTTACTCAAAGTTCAATGCTTTTTTCCATTATACCAAGTTCCAAGAATTATTCAAAGGAATGTTATTTCATCCTATTAACTAAGCAGAAATAGCTGCTGCTTGCCAGACCTTGGCAGCTCAGTTCTACTGTACCTTTATAAGCCTTAGTCCTTACTATATGTGATTTCAAGACAAGTGCTCACCGTCAAGTAGTGGACAAAGGCCTGTACTAGATGCTATTAGTGCCCTGGTGCTAGGCAGACAGCTTCAGATTTCCTATTGTTTATCTTTAACTTTAATGAGATGGAATAGGTATTCTGTGAGATTTTGCTTTGGAATCTTTGAAGGAAGTCTTCTGAGAGGTTAGTAATGACCTTTTCTCCCTGACTCCATTCAGCAAGTCAAGGCAGACTATGGAAGATAGAACCCAAAACTTCATGGGTACCTTGAAAAATTTTAAATTAAATTAAATATTAAATTAAAAACTAAATTTTAATTAAAAATTAAATTCTAAGTAAATTAAAATTTTAAATCAAATTCTAATTAAATTAAGGTTTACATTTTTTAAAAAAGGGAAAAAACCTAATTTCTAAAAATATAAGCCAGAGGACAACGTATTGGGAAATGACAGTCATCATAGCTGATAAGCAAACTATTTCCATTGTATTTGAAAATAAAGGCTTGCTGGACCTATGCCACATACGACTAATGCAAGGAATAGTGTATTTTTTTATAGTCTTCAANGGCTTGCTGGACCTATGCCACATACGACTAATGCAAGGAATAGTGTATTTTTTTATAGTCTCCTAAATGTCAAGGGGTGTGTGTGTGTGTGTGTGTGTGTGTGTGTGTGTATGTGTGTGTGTGTGTAGTGTTCAGTATATTAGTTGGCTCTGGGAAAGTATC